ATTTGGTGGTACTATAACTTCTCTAATTCTTCTATGAGGAGTTAATCCAATTGGTTTATCACTAACTACTTCAATTTGAAAATTTTCCAAACCAATTTCTATACACTTATCTAAATTTCTTTTCACATTTGCTTTTACTAATTGTGGATAATCTCCACGTGTTACTATTCTAATACAAACAAATGGTGCAAGTAATGGTGACCCTTTCAAAACAATTTTATCTGGGAATGCATTGTATATTATTAATCCAACAAAATTAAATAAGGCTTGTGGAAAAGAAAGAAATGTAAGAGTCCGTAACAAGTATAATATAAGTGCACCAAGAAATCCATATTGAATCCATGGATCAAATATTTCTTTCTTATTATTATTCCACCGAAGTCCTCCAGTGATTAGCTCAAATACAATTATAACAATAAATAATAGAGAACAATGCAAAATGTGTTTTATTACACTGTTCAACATTATTCCTGAAAAATAGAAAATTGGAGAAATTAGCAATTATAAATAATATATATAGTGATAATATTTTCATGAAGCATTTTTACAAGTTTGATTATAAAAAGTAAAATAAACATAAAAATTAAAATATAAAAATATCGATTGAGCTTTATTTATTGAATTATAAATTTAGATTTTAGATTTATAAGATAAAACAAAATAGGAACAGAGTGCAATGGCATGATGGAAATAGCAGTTTCATTCTACTTCTTTTTGTTCATCTAATACAAACTTTGATTGTTTATAACTTAATAAATAAATCTTAATTGATATTTTTTCTACACTTTAATATTTTAGAATAGATACTTCAAATATGTTTTATGAATATATTAATACCATATATAGATGCATATAATCACAATTTATAATATATTACTAATAATTATATATTATTATTATTTAATATATAAATTATATATTATTGATATATATACATATATATGAATATATTTTTATTACTTTTATTAATAAAAAGATATTAATAAAAATAATAAAAATATATTTATTAATATTATATTTAATAAAATATTAATAACTGTTAACTTAATAATTATTTAAATAAGAATAAATATAATAAAGATAAAAAATAAGAATATTTTTTCAAATATTTCATATATAACAATAAAAAATTAATTAATGATTATTAATGATTATAATAATAAATGAATATTAAAAATGAAATTATTTTCATTTAATAAAAATTATAATATACCTATCTTATAATTCAAATTATATATATATCTTATAATTCAGAATTGATTTGAACCTAATCTTGGAAAAAATGGTATCAAATATTTAATGAATTAAATAGAAAGATAAAATAAGATAGTGATTCATATATTTGTCTATATTAGATATATTAAAGCATATATTAGATATCACTTATTATAAAGATATTTCCAGTAGAAATAAAGAAAATTAATTGGATAAAATTCCATTCAAAATATAAAACAATATAAATTAAAATAAATTAAAATAAAAAATAATAATAAATATTATTATATTAAATTTTTACAAATTGTTATTATCATTATTACATAATTTGATAAAAAAATATAAATTTCATATAATCATATTTATAAATATTTTATTATAGATGTTTAAATATATTTAATAAAAATAGCAAAAAATTAAAATTTATATAATCTTGTTAATTTATATTTTTATATTTTAAAGAATAGATCTTACTGTTAATAATTTAAATTTATAAAGAAACAAAACAAAAATCTATATAATTTTGAATAAAATGTAATTTTCTAATAAATAAATAATAAATATATTTTCATGTGATAAAATAATATTGTATATTTTTTTGTAAATTTTGTTTTCATTTAATTTAATAAATTAATTATAATAGATCAATTAATTTATAGATCTTAAATATTATAATCTATTCTTTTCACATCAGTTTGAACTTTTAATTTTTATGAATTTATTATTACAAAAAGTGTATGATTTAAATATTATAATTTTAATTTTTGATAAAGAATAAACAATTTTTTAAACAAATAACAAATTATATATATTATATAAATTTTTATAAAGGTGCAAGAAATAAATAATATTTATTGAGAATATTTATTATTTAATTAATGTATTTAAATTAAATGTATTAAAATTAATCATTAAAATGTTATTTTATTTGTATACCTTTTTTTGTGCAGCCAAATATTAATGTAATATATTAAAAAAAAAAATTCCTTGCTTCATTGTTCGCAGCAACAATAAATATAAATATAAATAAATTATAAAAAAAATAATTTATATGGATATGAATCGAAAATATTTTTATAATTTCAACAACGCGTCACTATCAGTATTACTGATTTTCATTGATTCAAAGAATGACTTACATTCTAACATTCTTCAATTGTTATGCACAGAAATGACTGATTATCAATACGAGATAAGAAAACCATATCGATCTTTGAAATTGTAATAAATATTAACACTCAATATCAAGGTACTACCAGTTCAATAATTATACTGATTATAATTATTTTTTTATTTTTCAATATAATTCTTAAAATAAACTTCTATGATTGGTTAATGTTATTTATATCTAAATAAAATTAAATTAAATTCATAGTTTTTATAATATTTAGTATTAAATATTATATATGAAAATATCGAATATTTATCATATTACTTTTAATAATATACAAATATATTTCACAATAAAAAATATAAGTATATGTTAATAATAAAAATAAAATATGAAACAAAACAACTTATATATCAATTAAAATTTTGGATGGATTTTCAATAAATTTGCAATTATTAATTATTAATATTAAAGAAATTAAATTTAAATTAATGTTTATTAATTAATTTAATCACGTATAATAAAGCTATTCATTTATTTATGCATAATATAAAAAATATAAAAAAAAAATAATAATACTTAATTTAGTAATAATACAGCAAAAATAAATTATACTTTTATTTAATAACAATTTTTATATTATTAATATTATATATTATTTGTATTACATAAGTTTATTTTATTATATTAATAAAAATTATTAGAAATTAGAAATTTAATATTAAATTTTTATATACACATTAGATGGCACTTCAGTTGCTATCAAATGTATAGATGTTTCCCATCTCTATCATTTAAAGTTTTGCATTCTTTATTAACGCAACTAATCGAACGCATTTTCCTTGTTGAGCGTGTACCACGTTTCGTGTCGTAAGACTTAAAGGTAAATATTTATATTTAAATATAATTTATAGTAGTAATATATATAATAAATAATATTATATATTTTAAATATATTATATATTAATATATAAAATAATACAATTTATTTTTAATATAACATATTATAATTCACGATGATTTACGATACGTTTAATATTACGATACGATTACTATTATTCATATGCGTTAATTTTTCTATTATAATATAAGAAAAAAATATACTTATTTATTTTTTATTGTTTTATTATTTAAATATTGTTTAACTATCTATGGATATTAGATGTAAATTTCAATGGATTCATTCAATCAGTTTTAATTTAAAATAATATACGAAACATAGATATAGTATGTTTTATTTTTAATATATTTATATTATGTGATGATTCAAATAATAATCACCATCTTTCGACTGAGAACTGTGATGGTAATTTTTACTGAAAGCAATTAATATATGCAATGCAAATTATAAGTTTAAAACAAAATTCAAACTATATTTTTTATTTCAGAATGCGTTACGTGGCCGCTTATCTTTTAGCTGTTTTAGGAGGTAAAACTTCTCCTAATCAAAATGATATTGAAAAAATTTTATCATCTGTTGGAATTGAAACAGATGGTGAAAAACTTAAAAAAGTTATTGCAGAACTAAATGGAAAATCAATTGAAGAACTTATTTCACAAGGTATAGTTTTTAATTAATTTCAATATTAAATCAATATGTAAATAATATATAAATATAATATAAAATATTATTTTATAGAAGTTACATATCAATTACAATAATAATAAAGATTTTATTAAATTTAAAAATTAATTTTTAATTTTTTCATTATTTTTTTTTATACAAATGAGAAAGATATTTTAATTTCATTTTTTATTTTTTTCAGGAATGGAAAAATTATTATCTATGCCAGTTGGTGGTAGTGTTGCCGTTAGTACAGATGCTGCACCAGTTGGAGGTACTACTGCTCCAGCTGAAGAAAAGAAAGGTATATATTTTATATATATATATATATGTATATATATATTGCTTTAATACAATTTATATTTTACAGAAGAAAAGAAACCAGCAAAAGAAGAATCTGAATCAGAAGATGATGATATGGGTTTTGGTCTTTTTGATTAGATGCCTCATAATAGTACCTGTATAATAATTATTTGTAAAATCTATATTATACAGTTTTGACAAGATTACTCGAAATAAATCATATTTTTAATTTATTAATATGTAATTCACTTTTTATACATACAAATGAAAATTTCTTATATGGAATAATTATAAATATATATAGACTTCAAAATTTTCTGATTAAAGATGCAATAACCTTGTTAATGTATTATATATACATATGTGTGTAATTTACCTAAAACCTTCCAATTCTTTTAAAAGCAAGATATACAAATTTTAATTTTATTGTATTTTAATTATATTGTGTATTTTATTATGAGTTACAATATAATTAGATACAAATTTCTAACATAAGAAAACGTAAATATATAACGAACAACATATACCGCATATACAATTGTGCGATATTCACAGCTTTATTCATAGTAAAGAGTGGGGGACAAAAATTGAAGAAAGGAAGAAGTGATGTTCAAGAAATTTATTATAAAATTCAGTTGTCTGTTTTTGTACTAATGAAAATTTAAATTAATATAATCATAACAATTATTATTATTCGATATTTTATTATGTGTTTCATGTATCGTTACTATTTTGATGTGTTTACAAACGTTTAGTGATATCAGAATATAGGATCGATCGGAACACTTTTGTACTTAAGGAACTATTTTTAGACAGAGGGGCGGTCATTGGCGGCCATGATGGGTGTCAGCGGCAAGTAGTGACGGCATTCACTTTGCGTCAGTTGGTTTTGTGCGCTGATAGTTGGACTGAGGTTTTTTGATTGAGAAGCGCACTATAAGCCAAAACAGTTGTACATAAGAAAGACAGACAGCCGCGATAGATTTTTAATTAGGTAACCGCGGCTGGAAAACCTCGAAAAATTTTGAAAAACATCAGAAAAATGACGCAGTTACTACCCATAAGGTTTCAAGAACATCTCCAGGTAGGTGACCTGCTTTCATATTCAATTCTTCTATTATTTCGATATGTCGTCAAACATTTCTATTTATATAAATTGTATTTTCAATTTTATTTTATATTTTTAATGTTTTTTTAATAAATATCTTTATTGTCATTTATTACTGTAGCAAAGAAATATAAGTTCCGTTAAAATCATTTCAAATTGACATTACTTTGACAGATATAATATGAGTGTATGTTTTTTTATTTATATAAATTTTAATCAACTTTTACATACTTTAATAATCAAATATATGCATAGAGGTTAACTAATCATAGTATTATTCTATATGGTAATGTTGGCGAGAAAAATAAATTGATTTTTTTTCTATCAATGAGGCCACGTCTACTCGGCATATACGCCCCTTATTTCCGTTTTTATATATCATAAATTTTATAATTAAATTGTTATTTCTTTATGATTTTATGATAACATTATGAAATTGATTTGGAATTCATTAATTCAACCATCATTTTTTTCATAATAATGAGTTGTGATTTTTCATGAAATATATTTTGATTATATTTTATTATTATATATTTTTTATTCTAGATTTTAAATATATTTATTTGATTTATTTATTATTATTATTTATTTTTATTTATGTAGAATAAATCACATAATTTGTGATAACCTAAATAACATTTAAAGTACATGTTTTATGAAAAAATATTTTATATAAAAAATTATATGTCAAAAGGAATATGACTGAAAAGATTTTTTAAATAACCTATTTATACATAAGATATCAATGTGATCTTGAATTTTTAAATAGAATATATGTTCTTTTATATTGAAATTGAAAAAAGCAATAAATTTCTAAAAAAAATTTTTAATCATTTGTGTTATATTTAATAAATAGCAAAAATACTTTTTATAATTGCAATATGATTTTAATTATAATAGACACTTAAAGTGAAATCTATTATCTTTTCTATATTTATGTAATTTTTTAATAAAAGATAGAAATTTACTTTTTTATTATTTTTTATGATTTGATTTTAATTTTTCTTTTTATTGCATAATAATTTATTTGTAATAATAATAAAATATACTGAAATATAATACATTTCAGTATAACAATTAATAACCTATTATAATTAATTATGAGATATTAGGTTAGACTTTATTTATAAACATCATTATAGAAAATTCAATATTCTTTTATATAATACATTTTATTAAAAAAAAATTTAAGTCATACATTAATATCCTAAATCAAGTTACATTAATATTCTTAAGAAAATATTTTATTTAAAAATGATTGTCTTAATATCATATATTTTTTCTTTTTTTCTTTTTATATGATTTGTGATTGTGATTTAAATATTTTATTTTTATTAATGATTTTAAAAATGTCATCAAATCATATTTTTTTCATTTTTTTTATTTTTATATAATTTGTGATTATATGATTTCTATATAAAATATGATTTTTATGTAAAATAGATATTTTAGAAATTATTCTGAATAACAAATATTTATTTTATTTGTTCATTCATCAAAATCTATGAAATTTATAATTAAAATTTGATATAATTTTAAACAGATTAAATTAAGCTTTAACATAAATGGATTAACTTAAATTTAAATAATAAATAATAAAGATAATTATAATTTAATTTAATTGAACTTTATAATAATTGTTTATAAAATTTCATTAATTTTATGATACATTGTCAATATTTGGAATAATTTTTATTACTATTTGACTATTACTAATTTTTATTACATTATTTTTATTATAAAGAAATACAATTATGCTAAATTATTATTTTAAAATAATAAGAAATAAATTAATATTTCTAAGAATTTCCTAAAAATTTTTAATTTTAAGAAAATTTTTTTAAAATTTCCTAATTTATTATTACTTTTTAATTGTTTATATATAATTACAAATTTTAATATAAAAAATTAATATTCTTTATATTTTTTATCTATTCTTTTTATTTAATGAAAACTAATATTTTAAATAAATTATTTTAAACTTATTTAAAAAATAAAAAAACTAATTATATTGAATGAAATATATTTTTTAATATCAAGTATTTAAGTTTTGATACATTAATATAAAAAATAAAATATAATAAAATATAATTTCTATTTTAGTAATTATAGTAATTATAGTATTTTTAAATAATAATTAAAATTAATTAAAAATTAAAAAAGTAAATTGTTTAATAATTTTTTAATTTGTATATATCATTTTTTTCTTATAGCTTACAGCTGTTGGGATTAATGCTAACAATGTTAGCTTTAATACACTTACAATGGAATCTGATAAATTTATTTGTGTTCGAGAAAAAGTTGGTGATACTGCACAAGTAGTTATTATTGACATGAATGATTCTGCGAATCCTATCAGGAGACCTATTTCTGCAGATTCTGCAATTATGAATCCTGCAAGTAAAGTAATTGCTTTAAAAGGTAATAATTAATATGCTTTTTTAACTTAAATTTAATAATAAATTTAGTAATATATTTTATTTTTATTTTTAGCAATGAAAACTCTCCAGATTTTTAATATAGAAATGAAATCAAAAATGAAAGCTCATACAATGACAGAAGATGTAGTATTCTGGAAATGGATATCTTTGAATACTTTGGCATTGGTAACAGAGACTGCAGTTTATCATTGGTCAATGGAAGGAGAATCAACTCCGAATAAAATGTTTGACCGACATTCTTCATTAAATGGCTGTCAAATAATTAATTATAGAACTGATCCGAAACAAACATGGTTATTATTAATTGGTATTTCTGCTCAGCACAATAGAGTGGTTGGTGCTATGCAACTTTATTCTGTTGAAAGAAAATGTTCTCAACCAATTGAAGGACATGCTGCTTCTTTTGCCCAATTTAAAATGGAAGGAAATGCAGAACCGAGTAATTTATTTTGTTTTGCTGTTAGGACAGTACAAGGTGCAAAACTTCATATTATTGAAGTAGGTCAACCTCCTGCTGGTAATCATCCTTTTCCAAAGAAAGCAGTAGATGTTTTTTTCCCACCAGAAGCTGGAAATGATTTTCCTGTTGCTATGCAAGTCAGCTCAAAATATGATGTTATATATTTAATAACAAAATATGGTTATATACATATGTATGATATTGAATCTGCTACATGTATATTTATGAATCGCATATCTGGCGAAACTATTTTTGTTACTGCACCACATGAAGCATCTGGTGGTATAATAGGGGTAAATCGAAAAGGTCAAGTATTATCTGTATCTGTTGATGAAGAAAACATAATTCCATATATAAATGGAGTATTACAAAATTCTGAACTTGCATTACGAATGGCTGTAAGAAATAATTTATCAGGAGCTGAAGATTTATTTGTAAGGAAATTTAATTACTTTTTCAAAATGGTCAATATGCAGAAGCAGCTAAAGTTGCAGCAAATGCTCCAAAAGGAATACTTCGAACTCCAGCAACTATTCAACGATTCCAACAGGTACCAACTACACAAGGACAAACATCGCCCTTGTTGCAATATTTTGGAATACTTTTAGATCAAGGGCAATTAAATAAATATGAATCCTTGGAATTATGTCGTCCAGTGCTTGTACAAGGTCGTAAACAACTTCTTGAAAAATGGTTAAAAGAAGATAAACTAGAATGTAGTGAAGAATTGGGTGATTTAGTGAAACAAGCTGATCCAACCTTAGCTCTTAGTGTTTATTTAAGAGCTAATGTCCCTAATAAAGTTATACAATGTTTTGCAGAAACTGGACAATTCCAAAAAATCGTATTGTATGCTAAGAAAGTTTCATATACTCCTGATTATATATTTTTGTTAAGAAATGTCATGAGAATTAATCCAGATCAAGGTGTAGCATTTGCCCAGATGTTAGTTCAAGACGATGAACCTTTAGCTGATATTAATCAAATTGTGGATATATTCATGGAACAAAATATGGTTCAACAATGTACAGCATTTTTATTAGATGCTTTGAAAAATAATCGACCAAGTGAAGGAGCTTTACAAACACGACTTTTAGAAATGAATTTAATGTCTGCTCCACAAGTTGCTGATGCAATTTTAGGAAATCAAATGTTTACTCATTATGATAGAGCCCATATTGCACAATTATGTGAAAAAGCTGGTTTATTACAACGTGCTTTGGAACATTACACTGATTTGTATGATATTAAGAGAGCTGTGGTACATACCCATTTACTTTCTCCGGATTGGCTTGTTGGATTTTTTGGAACATTATCAGTTGAAGATTCTTTAGAATGTTTGAAAGCAATGTTAACTGCTAATATAAGACAGAATTTACAAATTTGTATTCAAATAGCAACAAAATATCATGAACAATTAACTACTAAAGCATTAATAGGTATTTAAAATTCTTTATATTTTATTTTAATCATACTAACTTATATTATTTATATTACTGGTTTATTATATTTATACTTAATATCTCTATTATTTTTAGATCTATTTGAAAGTTTTAAATCATATGAAGGATTGTTTTATTTTTTGGGATCCATTGTTAACTTCAGTCAAGATCAAGAAGTACATTTTAAATATATTCAAGCAGCTTGTAAAACTGGCCAAATTAAAGAAGTTGAACGAATTTGTAGAGAAAGTAACTGTTACAATCCGGAACGTGTAAAAAATTTCCTTAAAGAAGCAAAATTATCTGATCAGTTACCTTTAATCATCGTTTGTGATCGATTTGATTTTGTACATGATCTTGTATTATATCTCTATCGAAATAATTTACAAAAATACATCGAAATTTACGTTCAGAAAGTAAGTTTTATTATTCATATCCATATGATTTGATATCAAAATTTTAAATTTTATAATTGTAATAAATTTATAATACAGTTTTCTTTATTCTTATCTTACAACTTTTATTTTATTTTAGGTAAATCCTTCGCGTCTACCTGTTGTAGTCGGTGGTTTATTGGATGTAGATTGTTCAGAAGATATAATAAAAAATTTAATTCTTGTGGTACGTGGCCAATTCTCTACTGATGAACTTGTAGAGGAAGTTGAGAAAAGAAATCGTCTAAAACTCTTACTTCCTTGGCTGGAATCTCGTGTTCATGAAGGTTGCGTTGAACCTGCAACGCATAATGCATTAGCAAAAATATACATTGACAGTAATAATAATCCAGAAAGGTTCCTTAAGTGAGTAAATATAAACATTTTTTATATGATATGAAAAAATATTTTATATAAAATTTTAAGTTTTTTTATTAATTTTAATTCTATAGAGAGAATCAGTTTTATGACAGTAGAGTAGTAGGAAAATATTGTGAAAAACGTGATCCACATTTAGCATGTATTGCATATGAGCGTGGTCAATGCGATCGGGAATTAATAAGTGTATGTAACGAAAATAGTCTTTTTAAAAGTGAAGCTAGATATTTGGTAAGACGTAGAGATCCAGATTTGTGGGCTGAAGTTCTCCTTGAAAGTAATCCTTATAAAAGACCGTTGATCGATCAGGTCAGTTCATGTTATAAAAAGATAATAAAAATACTAATATAAAATAATTAATAATGATAAATAATAATGATAATAATAATTTTCTTAAAATATCTAATAAAAATTTGTTTTTTTGATTTTTATATATATATAATTTTATGTAATTGTTATGAAATCATTATATTATTTTTTATAGGTTGTACAAACAGCTTTATCAGAAACACAAGATCCTGAAGATATATCAGTTACTGTTAAAGCATTTATGACTGCTGATTTACCCAATGAATTAATTGAACTTCTTGAAAAAATTGTACTTGATAGCAGTGTATTTAGTGATCATCGTAATTTACAAAATCTTTTAATTTTGACGGCAATAAAAGCTGATCGTACACGAGTTATGGAATACATAAACCGATTGGATAATTACGATGCTCCTGATATTGCTAATATTGCTATCAATAATGAATTATACGAAGAAGCTTTTGCTATCTTTAAAAAATTTGATGTGAATACATCTGCTATTCAAGTTTTAATTGAACAAGTAAATAATTTAGATAGAGCTTATGAATTTGCTGAAAGGTAAGGTATAATAAAACAAAATTTCAAATAATTACTGAACTGAAAAAATAATATAAATAAATAAATAATATATAATTATACATATATTTATTATAATTGAGAAAATTCTATTTCTCAATTCTATTTCTCAAAAAAAAATAATATTTGTTTTTATAGATGTAATGAACCGCCTGTATGGTCTCAATTAGCCAGAGCACAATTACAACAAGGTTTAGTTAAAGAAGCTATAGATAGTTTTATTAAAGCAGATGACCCATCAGCGTATGTAGATGTAGTAGAAACTGCTCATCGAACTTCTCATTGGGAGGATTTAGTTCGCTATTTACAAATGGCTCGTAAAAAAGCACGTGAATCTTTTATTGAAAGTGAATTAATTTATGCATATGCAAGAACAAACAGACTTGCAGATCTTGAAGAATTTATTTCTGGTCCTAATCATGCTGATATACAAAAGGTTTTTATGTATATATTTGTATATATTTTATTTGTTCATGTTATTTTCGAAATAAATACACCTATATATAGGATATTAATATATTCTTTGAAATATTGATTCTAGAAGCCAAAATAAATACAAAATATTAATATATAAAAATATCTAATTAAAACTTATTTATTAAGTTATAAATAATTGAAGTTTGCATTAAATGAAGCAAAATAAAAATAGAATGAGATCACTATTAATATTATATTGCCATTGCAATTATATTTCCGTTTTGTTTCATTTAATATGAATTTAAATTGTTTATAACTTAATAAATAAATCTCAATTGATATTTTTATATTTATTTTAATCTCTAGAATCGCTCTTCAAAGATATCTTACAAATATGTTAATATTCTGTATATATATATTTTTAAATTTATATTTTTTATTTTTAGATCGGTGATAGATGTTTTGATGACAAAATGTACGATGCTGCTAAACTTTTATACAACAATGTATCGAATTTTGCACGATTAGCTATTACACTTGTTCACTTAAAAGAATTTCAAGGTGCCGTTGATAGTGCTCGTAAAGCAAATTCAACTCGTACATGGAAGGAAGTTTGTTTCGCTTGTGTGGATAGCGGAGAATTTAGATTAGCGCAAATGTGTGGATTGCATATAGTCGTACATGCTGATGAACTAGAAGATTTAATCAATTACTATCAAGATCGAGGGCATTTCGAAGAACTTATTAATTTGTTAGAAGCTGCATTAGGGCTTGAAAGAGCACACATGGGAATGTTTACTGAATTAGCTATACTTTATAGCAAATATAAACCTCAAAGAATGAGAGAACATCTTGAACTCTTCTGGTCTCGAGTTAATATACCAAAGGTATATATTATCAATATATATTACATAAAATTTAATTAAAAAAATATTTTATATAAAAAATATTAAATATGAAAAAAAATAAAAATATATATAATAATAACAATAAATTTATTAATATATTCATTAATAAAATATATAGGTACTTCGTGCTGCAGAGCAAGCACATTTGTGGGCAGAACTTGTATTTTTATATGATAAATATGAAGAATATGATAATGCAGTTCTTGCAATGATGCAACATCCTACTGAAGCATGGAGAGAAGGTCATTTTAAAGATGTAATTACTAAAGTGGCAAATGTTGAACTTTATTACAAAGCTATACAATTTTATGTTGAATATAAACCCTTACTTTTGAATGATATATTACTTGTACTTGCTCCACGCATGGATCATACGAGAGCAGTTGCATATTTCAAAAGAACAGGACATTTACAACTTGTAAAACCTTATTTGAGATCGGTTCAAGCGTTAAACAATAAAGCAATTAATGAGGCATTAAATGGTCTACTTATTGATGAAGAAGATTATCAAGGACTCAGAACATCGATTGATGCTTTTGATAATTTTGATAATATTGCATTAGCGCAACAATTAGAAAAACATGAATTAATTGAGTTTAGAAGAATTGCAGCATATTTGTACAAAGGAAATAATAGATGGAAACAATCAGTAGAATTGTGTAAAAAAGATAGATTATTTAGGTAAATTATATTAAAATCTTTAAAATTTTAATTTTATTATGATTTTATTAATTTTATTTTTATTAATTTTATTTATGATTTTTTACCATTTATTTTCTATTAATTATTAATTATTAATTATTAATAACAAATTAATTATTATATTGTTTAAATAGAGATGCTATGGAATATGCAGCAGAATCTCGCAATCCCGAAGTTGCTCAAGAATTATTAGAATGGTTCTTAGAAAGAGGATCAAAAGATTGCTTTGCAGCGTGTCTATTTCATTGTTATGATTTGCTTCATCCAGATGTTATTCTAGAACTTGCATGGAGACATCGTATTTTACATTTTGCTATGCCATATCTTATACAAGTAGCACGGGAATATATTACTAAGGTAATATTTTACTTATAATTTAATATATTTAATTATATTGTAAAATTATATTAATGATATATGTTATTTTAATAGGTCGATAAACTAGAAGAAGCTGAAAGTCGACGTATAGAAGAAACTGATCATCAAGAACATAAACCTATGATTATGCGTTAAG